GGGCAATCTTACTTCCGTAGTGATACTGCCTCGGAAACCCAAGGAGGGGTCGCTATGAGTCGGGGCCGACTCGACGGCAAATAACAACAACAACAACAACATTTTACTGATGAGTAAATCAAATTTCTGGTGAGCTCTGATGGTGGAGTGCTTAAGGCATTTGACTGCTAACCAAAATATTAGTGGTTCAATACCACCAGCCACTATGTGAAAGGAAGATGGGGCAATCTACTTCTGTAAAGATTTACCACCTCAGAAACCCAATGGGGGTCGTAATGAATTGGTATTGACTTGATAATAGTGGGTTTGGTTTGTTTGGGTTTAAAACAAAACTTTCAAAAGTATTGTGCACACACACTTGTCTTGGTTTCCTAGGACTTCTATTAGCAAATACTTCAAACTGGGTGCCTTAAAAGAATAGAAATGTATGGTCACACAGAAGTCCAAATCAGGATAGTAGCCATATTGATTCCTTCTGAGGGCTCTGAGAGAAATTGTGCCATGCTTCTCTCCTATTTCTGGTCACTCTGAGCAATCCATGCCATTCCTAGCCTTGTGGATACATCATCATGTGGCTTCTTTCCCCTATGTGTTTCTGTATCTGTCCTCTTTTACAAGACATCACTCAAATAGGATTAGAACCCACCCTACTGTGGTATGAACTTGTGTTATTCTAACTGATAACATCTCAAAGGAAAGTCCTGTTCCTAAATAAGTAACATTCACAGGTACCAAGGGTAACATATTCAAGGGTAACTTTTTTGGGGGAATACAACTCAATCCACAATAACGTGTGTGTGTGTGTGTGTGTGTGTGATATACATATATTTACTTACATGTTGTTGTGTAGAGAGAGCACAAGAGAGAGCTGCCATGTAGCCTGTGTTTTGGTTACTTTGTGTCACTGTAACAGAAATACCACAAATGGATGGCTTTAACAAACCAGAGTTTATTCTCTCAGTTTTGGAGGCTGAAATCCATGTTCAAAGTAAGCTCTAGAGGCTTGACAAAAGCCCTTCAACGTTGGGTTTCAGCTCTGCCTCTTGTTCCTGGCCCACTAGAGCTAGAGGTGTCTCTTCACTCACACAGCTTCTGAATGATGAGGCTAAAAAGCCCAAGACTGACAAACAACATGGCACAGTCCCAAGAATACCAAATAACACAGCAGGCCACTAGTTCAAATCCAGACAGTACAAGATCAGCAGGAAATATAGCAGGCTATGAAATGAAGACTTGGCTACCTGCAGGGTTCAGCTTGCCAAAAAGCTGCAGAGACCTTTCTCAATACTTCTTATATACTGGAAGCAGATCACATCCCCAAGGTAGCTACTTAGATGCTCCAATAGATTCCATCATGGAGTTGATTACCAATCTCACCATGAGAAATAACTACCACCAGCTGCCCAGCCACTCAAAACCAGGTCCAGGCATGTTGACACGTGACCTTAACTGCCACAATCCCACCCCTTGTTGACTTGACACCTATACAGATATTCATTGGGTAGCATCTGTACACATCTCCTTTATTGGGTGGCTCCAGTCCTGTAGTTCATCTGAGTGGTGACCTCATCCCCTTGGCCTGGAAGGCCCCATTCCTCTACCTCTTGGGCATGGCAGCCCTACCCCCTCACTTTTGGGCAACAGCTATGGCCCCATCCCACTGGCCCATATGAACGAGCAGCCCACACACCATAGCCAAGTTGATGAAGGTCTGACTCTTTGAAACCTGAGAGGCTATGGTGGTTCCAACCCCAAAGGCCATAGTCCTACCTTTCGAAGCTGAGGCAGCTCTGCTTCCCATTTCCTTGGTCTCTCACCTTCTACCAATTAATACCCAAAGACAATTCATTTCACCAGGAATCTTCCTGCCCAAAAGACAGCTTTCGCACTCCATGGACCAGTAAGGCTGTCACTGTCTCACACAGATCTCTCAGCTCTGCTGCTGCTATTTCTTATGTCAGGGTCTCTCTGCTGGGGTCTCTCTGCCAGGGTCTCAGATCAAGAACACACTCCACTCCTGTTTCCACATTTTAGGTATCTGTAATAGGAGCTCTGGTGGCGAAGTGCCTAAGACATTTGACTGATAACCAGAAGGCTGGTGGTTCCAACCCACCAGCCACTCCTCAGAAGGAAGGTTGGGCAACCTACTTCCATAGTGACACTGCCTTGGAAACCCAAGGAGAGGTTGCTATGAGTTGGATCCGACTCCATAGCAGTGGTTGCATTTTTTTGCATTGTCAGAGTAGAACCCCTCTCTCTCGGTACAAATTTCTGTTTTGGTTACCTCTAGTACCACTCTAGCAGAGGATACCACAAATGTGTGGCTTGGACAAACAGGAATTTATTTTCTTACAGTTTTGGAGGCTGGAAGTCCAAGTTCAAAGTACCTGGCTCTAGGGGGTGGGTGAAAGCCCCTCAGCCTTGGACTTCAGTTCTGTCTCTTGCTCCCAGACCACTGAAGCTGGAGGCTTTCTTTTTTCTTTCTTTCTTTCTTTCTTTTTTTTTTTTTTAATTGTGATTTGGGTGAAGATTTACAGAACAAATTCACTTTCCATACAGCAGTTCACATATACTTTGTCTCATGTCATTGACCACAGTTTACAACAATGCAACAGCTCCCCTCCCACTTCCTCCCCATAGTTACCTCTTCCCAGTGTCCATCCCTCCATATACTCCTGTCCCCTGAGCTGTCTCCCTGTGCATAAGCAGCCTTCTTTCTCCCATGATTGTTCTCTCCAAGGAGTGTATCTACTTGAGGTAAATGCTTAACTCATATGCCTGTATTTTGTTTGGCTGGAAACCACAGGTGTGGGTTCAATTCTAGATCTGAAGGGCAGCTAGGGTCCATAGTCTCAGTGGTTCCACCAGGCTCTATTGGACCAGAAAACCTGGTATCCACTGAAGCTGGAGGCTTTCTTCACTCAGGCAGCTGCTGGCTGCTGAGGCTGACAAACCCAAGGTTGACAAATAAAAAGGCATAGTCCCAATATTACCAAACCACATGGAAGGCCACTAATTCAAGTCCAGAGACAGTCCCAAGATCGGCAGACAACATGGCAAGCTGCTTAACAGTGACTTGGCTACATGCAGGGTCCAAGTGTGCCAAAAAGCTGCAGAGACCTTTCTCAAATCTCTGTATACACTGGAAGCAGACCACATCCATAAGGCTGCTCCAGTAGATTCCACCATGGATTTGATTACAATCTTATCATGGGCAAAAACTATATCCAGCTGCCCAGCTACTCAAAACCAGGCCCAGCCAAGTTGACATATAACCTTAACTACTGCTACTGCAGATGGCAGTAAACTAGGACACAAAGTCTTGAAAGTTTGTCCTTGGGAAATCTCAACCTGATGAATAGTGTTGATTATTTAATCAGACACCTTTTTCTTTACTAACACAACTAGAGAAAGCATTCATTCTCACTAAAGCACTTGACTCTGGAAAAAGTAACTAAAAGTACCAAGGTTTCAACTAGTTCCCACTCTTTCATTTATTATTTCTTTTTATACCTGCTTAGTGCACTAGCCTGACATTTTTCTTTGTTCTTACCGGCATATATCTAGCTTCCTCCTACAGATCTCTTGCATGGCAAGAACGGCACAGGCTCTAAACATCACTCTTCCCCCACAGATGTCAAAAATGCACAAGCATGTAGTACGTGCTGGGCTGTGGGTGGCAAAGAAGGAAAGAGCCAAGGCAGTAAGATGCAATATCAATTTTTTCGATGAAATTGTACATGGCTTCAATATTCCTAAAGGGGCCATAATCATAACAAATTCTTCTTAGTATAGTCAGTAGTCAGATACATTTTACTGCACAACCACTATAGTTGGTACACCATGTGGAGAGTGGTGGGAGTTACAGTCTTTGGACTCTTAAGACTTGCAATTCATCAGCAGGACAAGGCAGACAGCTATGATAGAAATAGAGTACTTCATACTGAAAGAGAAGGAGAATGAGGTATTTAAAAAAAAAAAAATTCTAAATACGACCTATGTTTTGTCCCAACTTCACAAGAATAAATTTTATAAAGTTATAAAATGTTTAGATGTTTATATTTCTTTTAAACTTATTGAAATTTTTGACTATTAAATAATAATTTTTAATTATACAGTTTCGTTTCAGTTCTTCAGATTGAAGATGGCAAATGTTAGCTTAAGGAAAAAAAGTCTTAATATAAATGTAAAACACACATCATAAAAGCTTGAGGTTTAGTGATAAAAACAAAAGAGTCTTCTTTGATTTCTTTTCCCCCAGCCTTCTACCCAAAGCCACAATTACAAAGTTTTCTCTTTAACAATTAAGAAACATTATAATATCTGACGTTTGGGCAATTTTTCCCATTTTAAGTATTGTGATGGAGAAAACTCACTATCACACAAAGTTAAAGTATCTGAAATTTGAATCATATTTTTGCACAGATCAGCTTGTTTGTATCCCATAAGAGAGAAGCTCTGGTAGCATAGTGCCTAAGGCACTTGACTGCTAACCAGAAGGCTATTGGTTCAAACCCACCAGCCACTCTTCAGAAGGAAGGTTGGGCAATCTACTTCCATAGTGATACTGCTTCAGAAACCCAAGGAGAGGTTGCTATGAGTTGGGGCCGACTCGACGGCACATAACAACAACAACAACAACAACAATCCCATAAGAATGTTGTGCAGTAGCTTCTACAAGGCATAGCCTAGGAAAAAGACGAATTGACTTATTCTAGTTTTCTTGACCAATTCCTGAAGACAGGATAAACCAATAAATAAATGAATAAATGATACAATGAAACCAGTGTTTTGTAAATTGATATTTACTGTGTTTAAAATAGATGACCTTATGATTTAGCATTTAATTTTATCCTATTATTCAATGATATGCAGATAGTTTTGCAGAACTTCAGAAATGCAAACAGTATCTGCAAAGAAATTAAGTAGGAAAAGTTAATACCACAGTCTGACTCTAGATTTGTGTTTTTCCTACAGTTAACACTTTACAACCAGAGGCATCACTTTCTAAAAGCACATTCCCTTCAATATCAAGGTCAGAAAACATCTTACAGTCTCAAGGTATGATTTCTGTGTGTATGAGTGGAAATTTGCTTTACTTGCCCCTTTTCACCAAAAGAACTTGACAATCTTAATTCACAAAACAGAGCACTTTCAGGATAGGAGAGAATTTCTTTACACTTGCTTCATGATATCCATAAATCTGAGAAGCTTTTTAATTGGAGAGGGAAGAGGATTGTGAGAATTGGCTGCCTTATTTCAAAGTTGACTTTTTCTTTGTTTCTTAAAATAATAGGCACTGAAAGTGGAAAAAATGCAAGCTCTTCTTCAACCAGTCCCTCTTACTCCAGTGAGTAACAGATATATCTCCATTCCTAGAAGCTGATATGCAAAATATTTGAATGTGCACCAAAGTGGAAAGGGTTGTCAAGTCATGCATAAGCTTTTCTCAACTTTACTGAACCTGCTATCTCATTATAAAACTGATCGAACAGTTCTATGCTTTAAGAATTTCCTACAGATGAGCCCTGTCTTAACAAGCATAACTTTGGAATTTATATTCTTTACCTTAGTGCTAATCAATTACCACCAAGGACCAAAGGTGAATTGATGGGGTGAGTCTCAGATAAGCCACAATGCACAGGCAGAGATCCCCAAATAAATCAACTGTTCTTCTTTACAGAACTTTATGTTAATGTTAAAAATGGCCTTTTAAAAACATTCCATTTTAATGATGCATATATATGTCATAGAACAGATAGATATGCGTGTACTAAGGCTGAGTGAAGAATACTCAATAATTTCCCTAGCAAATAAAAATATGATTAATATATATGAAGCTAGAGTCATAAAAGATAATCTTCAGTTTAGGAAAAGCTCTTCCATTAAATAAGTCAGCATGGAAATTATTAACCTGTCTGTTCATTTTGGAAGGCACCAACGATTCATTTGCACAGCATATAATTCAACAAGTCTCACTATAGGACTATTATGAATGTAGTAAAATTTAGTTAAAACAAATATTTAACCATAATAATGGAAATGTAAAGTACCTTAAAAATGAATTATTTAACTATTCTCATTCCTTGATAAATATATAAGAAAAATCTACATAAGCAAATGAGAATATATAACTATGTAGTAACCATAACTCTGTAGCTGTATTTATATCTATGTAAAAGATTTTTTGCCTTTAGAGACTGTCTTTTTACCCTGGAAAAGACTGTGAGAAAAGAAGGCAAGTGATTAAAAAAAAAAAAAAAAAACTCCTCTTAAAAAATGGAAAACCTCTTCTTAACTTATTGCAGGAACACCCACTCCCCAAATACACACAGACATACACATGTACATCTATCTTAAGTCACATTGTTTATTTAAAAAATAATATCCACTGTGACATCCACTATATCCAGTTATTTTATGATTTGATTAGTTTTAAGGTATTATTGTGGTAAAATATTTGTGAGGTTTTTGTTTTAGAAAGCCAGTATTGATCTTTTTTTGTTGTTGTTTTTCCCCAGTAACTGTAATATAAAATACTGAAGAAATGATGTATAAATGTGACTCTAAGTACAGATCTAGAGCACATCTTTTGCTCACAGGTCCTCCATCTCCTCACTCCAGTCTCCAGGAAGGTGGGGGAACAAATCTCTCTTAGGTTGGAATTTTGGTTCAGAAAGGCTACAAGACTGACATCAAGTGGATATGTCAGAAATGACAACTAGAACAAAACCTGTGACTCAGATAAATCTTCTTTGCCTAAATTAAAATTTTCTTAATAGATTGATGTTTAAAGAAGAAAGAAGGCATGCACGCTTTTTTTTTCAGTTAATAAACTACTGTGAAATTCAAAAGCTGCGTTAATTGACAGTGTATCCTAACTCTTTTTAGGTATTATTTTGCCGGTGGTTATTGCTTTGATTGTAATAACACTTTCAGTATTTGTTCTGGTGGGTTTGTATCGGATGTGTCGGAAGACAGATCCAGGTAAGTGACAGTGTTTGGTTTTGTTTTCCTGAAAGCAATATATTTTCCCAGTCCAAACCTGAATTTAAGCTTTTAAGAAGAGAAGGGACTTATAGGAAGAAAAGCAATTCCATATTGCTTGATAATAGAAATGGATAGGAAGATGTAAATAAATCCACTGATTGTTAGTGAATGTGAAGAGCTGGGATTAGCTACTATAGAGTGGCTGGTGGGTTTGACCCGCCATCCTTCTGGTTAGCAGCCAAGTACCTTAGGCACTATGCTACTAGAGCTCCTGTAGTGTATATAATTGTTTATGTGCCTGCCTCTCCAATAAGCCTGGCAAACTTTCAAGTCACAATCCCCATATTGTTGACATTGCATTATACCCAATATGTAACGCACTGCTATTGAGTCAGGGAGCTCTGGTGGCGTAATGCCTAAGGCATTTGACTACTGACCTGGTAGTTCAAACCCACCAGCCACTCCTCAGAAGGAAGTTTGGGCAATCTACTTCAGTAGTGATACTGCCTCAGAAACCCAAGGAGGGATTGCTATGAGTCGGATCCAACTCAACGGCAGTGGGTTTGGGATTTTTTTTTTGGGGGGGGGCGGCTATTGAGTTGATTCAACTCATAGTAACCCCATAGGACAGAGCAGAACTTCTCCAAAGGGTTTTCAAGGCTATAAATCTTTATAGAAGCAGACATCTTTATCCTATGGGATGACTGGTGGGTTCCAACCGCTGACTTTTGGTTGGTAATTGAACGCTTTAACTACTGTGCCACCAGGGCTCCTCACCTAATACAAAATAAATAAATAAATAAACCCTCACTTGACTGCTAACCAGAAGGCTGGCGGTTCAAACCCACCAGCCACTCCTCGGAAGGAAGGTTGGGCAATCCTACTTCCGTAGTGATACTGCCTCGGAAACCCAAGGAGGGGTCGCTATGAGTCAGGGCTGACTCGACGGCACATAACAACAACAACAACAGCCATCAAGTCAGTTCTGACTTACAGAGACCCTTTAGGACACAGTAGAACTGCCCCATAAGGTTTCCAAGGCTCTAAATCTTTACCGAAGCAGACTGCCTCATCTTTCTCCCACAGAAAAAAGCATTATGCCTAATACATAGCAGCTGTTTAATGTACATTTGTTGAGTTAAATTTTGAAATTTTCAATAAAATATAACTCCTTTTTTCAACATTTGGGTTTTAAATATTTCACCAACTAAATTCTGCTTAAGTATCGTAAGCTATTAAAATGTAAAGTACAATTATTTTTGTGAGATATAGAAGCCACACTGTTCTTTGTTTACATCATGGACACTTCTCAGGACACTAACAGATGTTGTTCCTGAGGCCAGTCATTAATGCGGTGGCACACGCACAGCTTGGCGCACAATCATGATAGTACAGGAAAAGGTGTGAGGCCAACACAGCAGTGCTCATGCTAGCTCTTGGTGAAGATAAGAAGGAAAAAAAATCAATATACTTTCCTTTGGCACTGAGTGAATAAACTTTTTAATAATATCTGAAGTATATTTCTTACACAGTTTCCAGAGGGGAAATAACATTTTTATAAATCAGTTTAATTTCTTTAAGTTTCTAAACTACCAATCCTATTCTTTATGGGAAACCGATCAATCCAGGTTAAAGCATGTGAGTATGCAATATATATAATAAGTAAAGAATTGTGTCCTAAATTCATTTATAAACTTATCATGTACTTAGAACTTCATTGCATTAAAATACTTGGAAATAAGTTTTTGAAAATTTCACGTATTATATTAAAGAAGACAATGTATGGATTGGATAATTCAGAAAATAATGTATAAAACTTCTACAGTTATGGATAGCTATTATGAAGAGATGCAATACTTTATAATCAAGTGTGTATAATAAGCCAATTCTATCTGGTTATTTTAACTTTGTTTTACAAACAGAATTTACAGCATTGTTATCATTAAATTAGCACCATTAAACACCCGCAGTTAATCTCTCTTCAAGTATGTGGGTGACTGAGACTTCATTAAGTTCAGAAAATGAGTAAATCCACTCTGCTCCTTGGAAGACAGCATGAATCAGAGGTTTTGGTATGAAATTAAGTTTATCTAGATAATGTTGACAGTAATCTGAGCTTCAACTCAGGACAGGAAAGAGAAAAATGAAGAAAATAGCCTATTGACATGCATTATCTACCAATGAAACTGTCATTACTGTACTCTAATGGAAAATAGTAAAACAAACATAACAAAAAATCAACTCATTTTGAAACAGGGTTATAAACAACACAAGTATTGTTATAAATGATACAACATAAAAGCCATAAATAATGTTATTAAGACCTTATTATGGTAGGGGCCCAAGATAGCAGCTTAGTCACACATACCACATCATCCCCCTATAGCACAGACAGGAGAAACCAAGTGAAACAGATATGGATGACGATCTGGGAACCAAAAATAGTGAACAGAAGGGTGAAGTATTAGATCAAACATCAAATGGAGGGGTAAACTGAATGAAAACTTCAAACCAGATTTACAGATCGTAGACATTATGCCAGCCAGCCCAGTAATGTGGCTGTCTTTAGACAAAATAAGAAGACTTCCCAGATTAAGAGCATAAGAAGGCAACTTCGCAGAATTGCAAGGAGGAGACAGAATACAATGTAGACAAATCCACAGCAAAACAAGATGAGCAGAATATGAACCAAACCAAAAATCCAAACTCACTGCTGTTGAGTTGGATCTGACTCATAGCAAGCCCTCCTTGTGTTTCCAAGGAGATGTCTCTGTGGAAGTAGATTGCCCAGTCTTCATTCCAAGGAGTAGATGGTGGGTTTGAACCACCAGCCTTCTGGTTAGTAGTCAAGTGCCTTAGAAACCATGCAGCCAGAACTCCCAGAATATGAACCACTCACTGCCATAGAATCATTTCTGACTCATAGAGACCCCAAATGGGGTTCTCAAGACTGTAAATCTTTACATAAACAGATCACCCAGTCTTCCTTCCATGGAGTAGCTGGAAGGTGTGAACTGCTGACTGTCTGGTTAGCAGTCAAGTGCTTTATCCACTATGCCACCAGAGCCATACATCAAAAAAAAAAGAAAAAACCTGCTGTCAAGTAGTATCTGACTCATGGCAACCCTGCCTTGGGTTTCTGAGGCGGTAACACACTATGGAAGTAGATTGCCCAACCTTCCTTCCGAGGAGTGGCTGGTAGGTTTGAACTGCCAGCCTTCTGGTTAGCAGTCAAATGCCTTAGGCACTACACTAGCAGAGCTCCTAGAACCATACATAAGGAGGGAAAATACAGTAAGACAAGCAAGATCTCTAGGGATCCAGGTGACCACATATCAGGGAGGGAGCCAGAAAATAGGGTCAGAACTACTCACCACAGCAGCCAAGATCATTTGGTCACATGTAGACTAGAGGATCCATAGAGTAGCAGCTTCAAATTCCCCATCCAACTGGAGTCTGGACATTTTTCTTGGACTTGGTCTGAGACAGGTCCTGACCACCAGATGCACTCTACAGGGAGTACTTCAATGCTCATGCTGGTGTCCAGGGAAACACTCTCCCACTTTCTACCTCCCTTTACCTGTGACCACGAGTGTGCCTCGCCAGCCTGCAAACAGCAACACACTCCCACCATGCCCTCCCAATGACTGCAAGGTGAAAATTCCCACTTCTCCCTCAACCCAGCAATATTCAGCATGTACTCCTATACTGACTCCAGTGACCAGAGGTATGCCCTGCTCTTCTGCCCAACTTCTCTGGTAGTCTGCAGAGTGCACACCAGCACTACCAGAGCAGCAAACAGAAGAATACACCACCCTGTCCACCCCATCCTCTGCTGGCTAGCCCACTCAACAATTGGTAGCACTTGCACATGTGTTGCCAGATTGGTGAGTGGATGTGAAAGCTTCCTCTATTCACTGTCTTGAAACTGATGGTGTGAGTTCCTATGCCACATGCCATGTGACCCATGCACCTCTGGCCCAACCACTTGACAACAAGCAGCACACACACATAGAGCCCAAACCAGCAACTAATGAGAACTTTCTCTGTACACAGTCTTGTTGACTGGCTGAGCAGACACATTACTTCCTCACCAATACCAGTCATATCCTGATAGGCATCATCTGCCAAACAATGAGCAAGAAATCCTGATGCCCTCATCTAATATTTGCCTGGCAGCAACATTCCATATGCCATGCTTAAAGAATTACTGCAGGCTGACCAAATATGCACAGAAATCCCTTGATCCTGCACCACCTACTAAGATGCCATTTTGTGTTTGCAGAATGGGCCTATACTATCCATATGTATAGCACTACCTAGCAGTGGATATGGAGATGTGCTGCCCTTACCACCAAATAATGCACTAACTTCTAGAACCAACACAGAAGAACCCCATCTTCTGACAAGAACTGTGGAGGGAGGATGACCACCAAACACCACTCAACATCAGGGTGAAAACCTACTCTTCAACCTACACTCAACCATGTAGGAAAAGAATTATAAGCTAAATCACAAAGGATTCATATGTGGGTGTTATGCATCATACACACTACAGAGGAAACTGAACCCAGGTAACTAACACTACCAAAGTCACACATAGACCACTGCCACAAAAAACAACAATTTGAATAATACAAAGGAAGAAGGACATTCTAAAGAGGAAGAGAAGAAACAAAGCTCCTGATATATCAACACAAAACACAAAAAGAAGCACAAAACAAACATAAATGCAATCAAAAAAGAAATATGAAAATAAATTGATTACTATCTTAAAGTCTAGGAGACAGCAGACAGTGAAAAATCATATGAAGAAACAGGATAAAGTGGCTCAGATAAGTGAGCAAAATAAAGAGGCAGAAAACCTTCCTGAGGAGGAAATGGTAATAGAACTACCTGATAAGGAATTCAAGACTTATGTTTAGACTTCTCAAAGAGATCAAGGAAAGCATAGACGAAACCCTAGAAGAATTCAGAAAAGCTTTTTAAGAACAAAA